ATTTGAAGAAAGAGTGGAGAAATGATCCATAACTTGCAAAACATTTTTCGTTTCTACAAAAATAAAGCGAACACTATTAAATTGAAGAAACAGTACATGTCCAAAAACCCCGGAGGAGCACTGAAAGAATTCTGTGTTTTAAATTAGCATATTTTGAACGAATTCGGAATGTCTAAGGTGGAAAAGAACCCAACCTTTCTATAAGGAAACAATTATAAAAAAAGAATTTTCTTACACTGTATTTATGTCTCCGCCAGCAGTCATTTAAAAGCAGCTAAGGAGAACGACGATACTATTTATTAGATGGCACATTCAACGAGCCAATGTGCCAAAATGCGGGTATAAACAATTATTGATTATTTAATATCGGAACCGAGATCATATAAGTTAATTGATTGGTTTTCACACACTTTTGAAACACAAATTATATGCCTTTTTACTGCAGACAAGTTGTTGCCTCAAAACACAGCAGAAATCTTCCAATCAGGGCTGCCAACTCTCCTTAGTTATGAGGTGCCATGTTGAGGATAAAAAAAGTGCCAAAATGTGCCAAATAGAAAAATAAAAGTGCCAAAAAAGGTGTAATTCCTTTTAATCATTCACATTTAGCAATAAAATGAAGCCACATTTTCAAAACAAAAGTGCAATGATAAAATAAGATAAATCAGTTGAATAGCCTTTATAAATTAGAAAATTTTAGTTGAGAAAAAGAAGTGCACGCAAAGGATTTCACAAAAATGTCTTGAAATGTTATTTTTTTTTACAAAAGTGCCATTTTGGCATTTAGTGCCAAATTGAAAAATTAAGTGCCATTTGATTAAAATAGGAACAAATGGCACGGTTTGAGCCTAGTTGGCATCCCTGCTTCCAATAACTTACAAATATAAAAATGTGAAATATCGAGGGCTTGAATTCATTAATACCCTCTATCTGCAATTTGCACAAAAACTAATTTGTGATTTTAGAAACCATCTGGGACTTATTACCTGTCGTTATATAAGGTAGCATTAATATCACTGATGACAGTTAAAGCTTAGGTGGATTTTTATATCAGAATCTCATCTTTGTGAAAAGTGTGCAGATAGGGGGTATTATTGAATATAAGCCTTCGATGTTTAAAATATATAAAAATTGTATTTCAACGTATACAAAAAATAAATCTACCTGCGCTACAGCACGTGGGGAGACGGGAAGGGGAGCCAGGGGGGCCGCGGCGTAGCGTGACGTGGTGTGCGCGCTGGTCGCGCGGGGTACGCGGGGGGCGAGCGCGAGCGCGACGCGCGCGGTGTGGCGCGCTGACGCGGGCCGCCGCGAAGCTAAGCAAATTTAATGTTTGAAAGAGAAATAATGTCAATTGATTTTATTTCGTTTTTAAAAAGGTAATAATGTCAATTGACTTTATTTCGCACCAGGCTGGGGAATAAAGTCAATTGACCTTATTTCCGTTGATCTTATTACCTGTCACCTTCTTTTACGATCCCATTAATGGGATTTTCAGTTCAGACGAAATAAATTTTCTGAAAAAGAAGGTTGCGAATTTTTTTATACATATTTTTAATTTGAAACGTAGTTGCAAACTTGTTTATTATAAACAACAACGTATACATTAAAATAATAATGAAAAAACAATTAATGGTAGATTAAATTTATAGTATTGTTCGCTGAAACTAAAATACACACCAAAAATCATTCATGTGGCAAACTATCGTAAAAATTAAGATGGTCTTTAGGCAAAGTTGCTTTTAAATACCTCAAATCTAATTGGAGACCCCTCAAACGGATTTTCCAGGATATGTTAAAGACTATTGCATTTACCTACCTACAGTTACTTTTTCACATAATGGAATTAACTAAAATGTTTATGTAAACACTTGTTGCACGCCCCCTACTTTCATATAACGGCAAATTTAGAAACCACGAAAATGGACTTAAAATGGGCGTTTCTCGCCCTAATTGTATTATGTTAATGTATGCAAATACTTATATTTATCTTTGCAACTACTATTAACTTATTAAACGATTTCTAATCTTTGACAATACATGTTTGACTTCATTCACCACGATCTTGAAAACTGACCAAATCGGCGTGACCAAGTCCAAGGTAATTTTAATATTATATAAAGATCCGAAAGTATTAAAACGTTTGAAATAAATCTCGTCTCGCCTTTTTGTATTTTTCACTTGGTTGCTGAAGAAATGAAGAATTGAAAATTCATAGGGGAAAATTATAGTTTTCTTATCTTTTATTTTAATATCTTAAAAATGGGAAGACTTATTGAAAAATGATAAATGAACGTGAGGTACTAAATTTAATAACCCTTAATTTGATATATCGTCCTGTTTATAACAATTAACGCATTCATAGATATTACAAGCCAAAGTTTCATTTTCAAAATTCATACATTTTGAATCAATTGCGCGGGCTAAAGATAAGTTTTAAATTAATCTTTCTTAGCCAATAACAATTGGCTCAGACCTAAGACATCATAATATTACTATTACAATACGGCCAAATGCCTTTTATTTTCCCCCATACAAAATCGACCCAGCCTAATAGACATACATACATATGTACATAAATATTCAAAAATAATGTTGCTGCAAAACCCTCAATACAAATCGAATTCGATAGCGTAAAAAAAATATTCATATTTTTTTGGACTTATCAAATTTTCTGTGACTACTTTGGAATTTTGCACATCACGGAATAAAACGGTTAGAAATAAAACAAGTAGTTAGCTCCTTTCAGAAACGGTGCATTTTCAATTTTCCTTGCTTCCTGCATCAAAAAATAATTGTTGATAAAAAGTGGACTTAGCAACATTTCACTCTAAGTTAGCAATATTACATTTTCATACATATGTACAAACATATCAAGTCAAGTAGGTACTTCCTCGCTAAATGGGTTACATCGGTTTTGCGTACTATTCGCGGGGCTGACTTTTTTTATTTAACCTATGCAACTCAGTTTGAAGCATGAGAAATAATGTGCTTTCGTTAGCTTCAGCAACCATAGTCAGCAAAACTCAATATAAAAGCTTTTAACTAGTTTAGAAGAGCTTTCTAAGCTTGCGAAATATTCGTTAAAAATGCTCTTGCTAGCAGTATGAATCAAATCAAAAGCTTAGATAGCATTTTCGTTAAGCGTAAGCTTAAAACCAATAAACTTAACGCGCAATGTGCTTTAAAGGATAGCTGGCCACTTCATAAAGTGCGCGTAGAACTTGTTTAAGCTTTTGTTTTACATTTCATACAGATATGCACGAAAGTTTTTTTGCCCCCCTATTTGCCAGTGACGCCAACCCATTAGAGCTTTTAAAAGGTTCTGTGGTGCACGACTTTAATTGCGGTGGAAAGCTTACACAATCGATTGCCAGATATTTAAACGATTTTTGTTGAAGAATACATACATTTGCGATCCAGGATTTATTGTCCATAAGCCCAAGGCCATGACAAAAGGCACTGTCGTCCATTTAACCAAATATAGTTGCCACTCTGTTCTTTGACACTTGCAGATTGTAGGCCTTTTAGCTGGGCAGCACTATGCAATGCACGTCTTTGCCTGCTTACTCGTAGCCTTTGCTACCCAGCAACTCGGCATGCGTTCCTACACTCTGACTGCCGGGCGTGATAGCAGCAAATGATTTTCAGCTTTGATTGCCTTGTAGAACAATTGGTAGGCCCATCGCTAGTGAGACGTAATGTTGGAGGATGCTACCTTTGGTTAGTTCGTCTGCGCTTTCGTAGCATTGAACACTTTTGTGTATTGTGTATTGTGTGGTCATAGCTAAACTTTCTATTGCTTCCATATAGACTACAAAATGCCTTACTAAACTCAAAGCGTCCTCCGACTTCAACTCACATAGTATCATAGGAGCTTTGTCCGGCACCTCTAGGCACACATTATCTATCATGGATCTCACTCTTTTTGTATTACTGCGTTTAACGAATTTTACCCCGTTAAATCAGCCTGCGCCTTCAAAATAATGTATTGGTTTTCCCGGCCTTTCGAGCATTCACCTAATCACAGCGCTCAGTAGTTCCTTTCTAAAGACCTTCGGCGTACACCTCGCTCATCTGTCCATTATCGTTATCTTCTGTTACGGCCTTTCGTCAATACCGCGCATAGATTTGCAGAGAGTCCCAGGGTCCCTCTGCTGCTTCTCGACTTCGACGGTATTAAAATTGATAGTTTATTGCGATGGCCTTACAATACTGTTACAGCATTTTGAGTTGCTTTCTACATACCATTTGCTGACGAATTGCACCCGAGCTGGCCTTAAAATCTGCGCACCCATGCTGCACGCTTGCTTACTCGATCTGTTGGAAGTGCCGCGGCTCCTTGCCGATGGACGATGACTAACTGCACTTTGTATAAGGATTAAAACTTACTACTTCTTCTAAATGATTTTGGCCGAGTTCCGCAAAGCACGCGAGTCGTTTCCTCCACTGCACATACCTTTCGCACTTTCTTGCTCTCTGTGCTTTTGTTAGATCATAGAGACTATGGCTGACTTCCAAAACGTCAATTGCTTTGCATACGTACAAAGTATGATGTTCCATAACGCCGAACTACCAAATGTTGACGATGTATACTTTTCCAAAACGCATCCGAAAATTTATCGAAACGCATCGCTAGCGCAATCAGCGCATCAGAAACAAAGTTGATGCTTCGTTTGTTATTGGTTACCATTGGTGTTTTAAAAATGGAAAATTCAGAAAAATTGTTCATTGCTATATTGAGTATTTAAAATATGCAATGTATATGGTTGCAATGTGTCGCAACTCTGCATATACAAACAGTTTGAATACCGCAGTATAACAGTTTCCAAAAAATGTATTGATACGTTTTGGAAGTCAGCCAATGTTTCTCAGTTCCCCCTCGCCGACTTCCTTTCCCTTGGGGCTCTAGCGAGCAATTTCCTTTCTTCTTCATATTACTAAAGGAAAGAGACTAGAGCTGTGTTTTTGCAGCTAAACAGCTAAAATAGAGACAAGAATTGAGGATTATATATTTATTGTTATTTTTTATTATAATTTCAAAATATGAGTTGATTTGGCATTTTGTTGCCATTTAATTTTCCTGCTTCGCTTTTAAATCTCTTGCGATGCACTTTATATAATAGTAATAAATTCCGGATTCATATAGGAGAAGCCAATGAAATCATTCTGATCTAAATTCATCATGAATAGCTTGTCAGTTGGTGTTAGATCAGTTTTCTCAACGACAAAAGCTTTATCAAAGTTTGAGATATCCTTGCGATGTTTCTGAAATCAGACAAAGAAATTGACTTTTCATAAGTCAAGCTTCAACCAAAGAATTCTTACAATTTTCGGTACAATTGGCGGCTCCAACTCCTTTGCCTCGGCCTTATCCCAGTCAATGTTCCTGAAGAAGGGATGTGTTGTAATCTCAGAGCGCGCATAGCGCCCAGCGCCTAAGCGATTATTAGGCTTTTTGGCGAGGAACTGCGGGACAGAAAAAGAAAAATCACTTTGTATGCTATTAGCTTATACTACTCCCTCTTATACTCACGCTCGTCAACACATCCATA